GATTTTGTTTATTTATTTATTTGAGAGAGAGAGAGAGACAGAGAAACAGCATGAGAGGGGATAGGGTCAGAGGGAGAAGCAGGCTCCCCGCTGAGCCGGGAGCCCGACGCGGGACTCGATCCCAGGACTCCGGGATCATGACCTGAGCCGAAGGCAGTCGCTTAACCAACTGAGCCACCCAGGCGCCCTGTCCTGGAACTCTTTTTAAACCATCCTCACACCCCAGCCATTTTTTTTCATGTAATAGAATCTCAGACTCTTCTTAGAAATGAAAGGGAACTTGAAGGATATCTATCCCTTCTTTTCATCCTTCCCTCACTCCTCCCCCCTAGTGCTTGAACGTGTCTATATTATCTCTACCAAATATCCATCCAGTCTTTGCCTTTATGGCATTAATGAAACTTATGTCAAGGTGGCTCTTAGATAGTTTGGATTTCATAATAATAGTGGTAGTGATATTTGTTTGTGTACTTACTAGTTGCTGCTTATCATGCTAAATATTTTACATGTTACTATTTGTCACAAGGAGGTGGAAGAAGAGGAGGAATAATATCTAGGAAAGAACTTACCTACCATCTTTCTTAACAGTATTTTAAAAATTAAGACTCCAGCACCCAAATACCTTAAAGTTGAATATAGAAAGCCCCATGTACTATTATTGTCAACAATCCAGACTACTTGAACTGTGCTCCTAAGATATTTGGAACAGAAAAAATATCTTTAATGCATATAATCTCCTGTGACTGTGTCTATATATATATACTGTTTCTATGATTTGGGTAGAATTGCATTAAATACAGTCTTCAGGGTTGTAAAGATATTAAGTTATTATCTTTTTTCATTTTGTTTTTAAGTAAGCTCTTTGCCCAGCTTGGGGCTTGAACTCATGATCCTGAGATCAAGAGTTACATGCCCCACCGACTGAGCTAGCCAGGTGCCCCAAGTTGTTATTGTTTTATCATTACTTTTTTAAAAAATAATACTTTTTAATAGTACCACCTATAATGGAATATGAATATTGTCTATTTCTGTTTATATAAAAAACAAAAGCCGTCTCCTATATTAATCTTTTTTTTTTTTAAAGATTTTATTTATTTATTTGACAGAGACACAGTGAGAGAGGAAACACAAGTAGGGGGAGTGGGAGAGGGAGAAGCAGGCTTCCCGCGGAGCAGGGAGCCTGATGCGGGGCTGGATCCCAGGACCCTGGGATCAAGACCTGAGCCTAAGGCAGACGCTTAACGACTGAGCCAGCCAGGCGCCCCTATTGATCATTTTTCATATGCAATTCTTTGAAATGGTTTAAAAATAGCAACAGAGAGCTCACCTTCTGAAACTTCTTGATTTGTTTTTTTTAATTGACAGTATTGCTCATTTTTATTTTCAGAATAGATGAAAACAACTCCATACTTGTATGAAATAATTTCTTCCCCAGATAAATATACAAATCTAGGCTGTGAACTGTACTGTTTATTCTTTATTATTATGACTTTTTAAAGTCATGAATGAAGGGGCACCTGGCTGGCCCAATTGTTAGAGCATGCGACTCTTGATCTTTTTGTTGTGAGTTCAAGCCCTACGTTGGGTGTAGAGCCTACTGAAAAAAATATTGTGAATGAGTGGAAGAGCCATATTCACTAAAACTAATTGATGGCCTTAGAAAAACACTGTATAATATAATCTTGTCAGTAGTTAAAACTAAATCAAATTCTGGATAATCTTAACATAGATCATATTTGTCAAAAAACTTAAAGGTATCACAAGTTTTAAATTATTTAATCTTTGTGTGTATTAAGACTGCATTTTCAGAAGTGCCTTTGTTTATCTTCTAATCCATAGAATTCTTTATATATTGAACCTGGACAACATAAATGTCATTTGTCATCAGTGCAAAGTATTAAACGCAAATCTTTAGTGACTTTATCAACAGCTTAAGTTTTTTTTGTTTCAGATGATACAAAGGATACAGATTCTTTATCAGATGAAGTTACACACAATAGCAATCAGAATAACAGCAACTGTTCTTCTCCATCTCGGATGTCTGATTCAGTTTCTCTTAATACAGATAGTAGTCAAGATACCTCACTCTGCTCTCCAATGAAACAAACTCATATTGGTATTAATTCCAAAATCAGGTTTGTGAACATCTTAACAGAATAATTTATTTGTACAATAGAGATAATAAGGCAAATAAATATGTATGACTAAAACAAAGCAGATTTCACAAATTAATATAGAAGTAGTTCAGGTAGTATGTGATTTCTTCCCCATTTTATTACTACTTATTTAGGTTTGCTACATTTGCATTTGTATTAGTTTTTTTAAGTGGGAAAGAAAAGGAGCATCTGGGTGGCTCAATCGGAAGAGCATGTGACTCTTGATTTCAAGGTTGTGGGTTTGAGCCTCACATGGGGTTAGAGATCACTAAAAAAAAATTACTAAAAAACTAGAAAACTAAAAAAAATTAGGAAAGAAAGGATTTAAAATATTCTAATTCTCTTCATTAAAAAGTTGGACATTGTAACAGTATTTTTAGATATTACAACATAAACAGCTTGTTTGGAGTAATTCAAGTTGAAATGGGTGTTTTTTAGATACTAATGATTGGAGGGTGCCATTAAAGGGCATTCAGTACTTTTAACTACTTCTGTATCTTTGAATTAGACTTAAATTTGTAGGTCAGACTCTAAACAAGACTTAATTCCTACAGGCTAAAATTAGCTGAAGTTTAAAAGAACTTAAAACAACTGTTATTTGGGCTTTCAAAATACTTGGCTATCAAAATAAGATGTGTTGTTTTACCTTCATGTTATTGTATCAGCTAGGTGCTTATTAGATTTGGGTTACTCCTGAACCCAAAGCTTACTGTACAGATATTGTTGACTACTTTTTAGAGTAAAATGGTTCTTAAATTCCAGGCACAGTTAAGTCAAATTTTGTTTGTATTGATTTATATTGTTGTAAAAGGAAGATGAATTTTATGTCGCAAAATGAGTTTAGCTATTATGTACTTGTAATTATGATTAATTATTTATATCTGTTCTTTGAAATTGAGGCTAAGACCTAGTGTGGTAATATAATAATTTTTATAACCCCTTAGATGTTAAGATTATGATTAATTTCTTGAATAATAAAATGTTACTGATATTTTGTTGAGGAGTTTAGTATTTTATAAATCATGTTTTTTGTGTAATGAAATAAAGGCTATCAAAGGGATATTGCACACCTTTGTTGTATTTCTTTTTTTTTAAAGATTTTATTTATTTATTTGACAAAGAGAACACAAGTAGGCAGAGCAGTAGGCAGAGGGAGAGGGAGAAGCAGACTCCCCGCTGAGCAGGGAGCCCGATGCGGGGCTCGATCCCAGGACCCTGGGATCATGCCCTGAGCCGAAGGCAGCCGCTTAACTGACTGAGCCACCCAGGTGCCCCCCTTTGTTGTATTTCTAATAATGAATGTAGTCTGTTACCTAATGGGAAGATCAATACTAAGGAATATTTGTTAAACATACTTGAATATTTTACAAAAGGGCACAAATATGTTTTCATGTTTGTGTGAAATATAAGTAGGTTTATTTCTTTGCACCAAGCAGAAGTAAAATGTTTTCTGTAATTTTGAAATAGCACATTTATAAATATTTGCCAAATACAATGGAATAACTTAGAAGAGTGATTAAATTTAGTTTTGCTTTTGATCTTCAGATTTTTTTCAGTGCTGCAGTTTATTTTATTTTTTAAATCACCATATGATAAAATTGACTTTGTTGAGTTCTAGTTTTTTTTTTAGTATACCTACTTTCTTTACATTTTTTGTAGACCTTTGAGTAATTGTTTAATTCTTAGCTTTTTACAATTTCTTTACTTACATATTTGAATCTAATAATAACTACTTAGTTAATATGACTGACTTTAAATAATGTAAGGTTTCAGAATTATTTGTAAAAATGTTCTGTGCTCTTTGCTCAACTATTTAAGTTACTGGCTTTCCATGTGTCTCTCCATCTTTCAATCATTTCATCTTTTAGCACATTCATGAAAAGGTGCTTAAAAAAGTCCATTTTTCTTCACTATTTACCTCTGTTAAACTATATTCTGACAAAGTGATTGGTAATATTGATGAAAATTAACCTTGATTATCTATGAATTTTAATTAATGTTTTATTTGTCTTCATTTAATATAAATATATTATTTATTACAGTAATATTTTAATATTACTCCTTGCTAATAAATGACTTTCATCTTTGACTCCCATCAGCTCTTTTAACTTTGTGTACCTACACATTAACCAGTTAGTTATTAATGTTTCTTATTACTAAGAAACTGAACTTTATGATGTTTATGATAAAATTATCTTTGTTTTAGGCAAGAAGATGAAAATTTTAATAGTCTTTTACCAAATGGAGATATTTTAAATCATTCAATGGAAGAAAAATTCCAGGTTCATGATGAGAAAGATTTTAACTTACCTGAATATGATTTGAATATTGAAGAGCAGTTGGTTCTTATTGAGAAAGGTGTTGACTCAACAGCCACATCTGATGAATCTCACAAATTAGACCATATCAATATGAATCTTAATAAACTTGTAACTAATGATACATTTCAACCAGAGATAGTGGAAAGATCAAAGACACAGGATATAGTGCTTGGAATGGACTTTTTAAGCATTAATGCTAAAGGAGAAGCTGAGCCCTTGGAAAATGGAAATAAGTATCCTAATCTAGAATGTGTAGATAAGGTAAATGGACATTCTGAGGAAACTCCACAGTCTCCTGGGAGGACTGAACCACATGACACTGATTCTTCTGTTGATATGGGTATTTCCAAAAGCACAGAAGATCTCTCTCCTCAGAGAAGTGGGCCAATTGGATCTGTTGTGAAATCTCATAGTATAACTAATATGGAGACTGGAGGGTTAAAAATCTATGACATTCTTAGTGATAATGGACCACAGCAGCCAAATGCAACAATTAAAGTAACATCTACTGTTGATGGAAAAAATATTGTCAGGAGCAAGTCTGCTACACTTTTGTATGATCAACCATTGCAAGTATTTACTGGTTCTTCTTCATCTTCTGATTTAATATCAGGTACAAAGGCAGTTTTCAAGTTTGATTCAAATCATAATCCTGAAGAGCCAAATATAATAAGAGGCCCTACAGTAAGTGGCCCCCAATCTACGCCTCAGATATATGGTCCTCCACAATATAACATCCAGTACAGTAGCAGTGCTGCCGTCAAGGACACTCTGTGGCATGCCAAACAGAATCCCCAAATAGATCATGTCGGTTTTCCTCCTCAGCGGCTTCCTAGATCCGAGAGCACAGAAAGTCACAGTTATGCGAAACATTCTGCCAATATGAATTTCTCTAACCATAACAATGTTCGAGCTAATACTGGATACCATTTACATCAGAGACCTGGCCCAGGAAGACATGGGGAAATGTGGGCCATCTCACCAAATGACCGACTCATTCCTGGAGCAACTCGAACTACGATTCAGCGACAAAGTAGTGTGTCCTCTACAGCTTCGGTAAATCTTGGTGAATCAGGTCCCACAAGGCGGGCCCAGATTCCTGAAGGAGATTATTTATCCTACAGAGAGTTACATTCAGTGGGAAGAACTCCATTGATGTCAGGATCACAGAGACCTCTTTCTGCACGAACATACAGCATCGATGGTCCAAATGCATCAAGGCCTCAGAGTGCCCGACCCTCCATTAGTGAAATACCAGAGAGAACTATGTCTGTTAGTGATTTTAATTATTCACGGACTAGTCCTTCAAAGAGACCAAATGCAAGGGTTGGTTCTGAGCATTCTTTATTAGATCCTCCAGGAAAAAGTAAAGTTCCTCATGATTGGCGAGAACAAGTACTACGACACATTGAGGCCAAAAAGTTAGAAAAGGTAATTAAATATGAATTTTTCATTTTCCTGTCTGTGAATTTATTTTTCTTAAAAATATTTGGTATTCTTTGTTTCTTAAACAAGGTGAAACAAGATACTCTGAATTACTGAATATATACTTAAATTTGAGGAGTTTTTTCTTGGTACTTAACAACAGAGTTCAAGTTTAGACTTAGCCAGACTCAAAACAACTGAGATTGTAGGATATGCTTCTTTTCTGTCTCTTACTCCCCAGTGTTTTCTAATGAGGTGAAGTTCGTTTCATATGTTTATGTGTATATCTTTTTTTAGATTGTGCTGTACATACTGTAAATAATACATGCATAAACATGTGTACCTCTGTTTAGCATTTTCTGACCTCCTGCTCTCATCTAATAATTAATTGGTTATGTAAGTATGTGTACAGAAATAGCAGTTTTACTATATAATTAGCAGAATAACAAGAAATATATCATAAATGTAAATATTTTATCTAAGATTTTTTTCCCAGTTATAAGACTGGGAAATGTTATAAGACTAACACTGTCACTGACACAGATGGCTTCTGGCATGGCATTTACTCTTGACCTTTCTGAACTGCATTTCTGACCTACCTGAACTCAGGTGTTTGTGGCTCTAATGAAGTTTGGAAATCATTGGTAAAACAACTTAAGATCATGTTCAGTTTATAACTTAATGTGTAAAGGTCAGTTTTTTGAAAGGAGTTAAAATTTTAAAAAATTTATCATGTACAACTGATAAATTAGTGTCTCGGTTCTGTGGCTCAAGTGTGTAAAGCACGTTCTTTTAAGATTTAGCTTCCTGCCTCTCAGTGGGTTTTACCCAAGAATTTTCTTATCTTTGTTCATTAAATATATATTTTTAAAAACAGCTAAATGTATACAACCTCAATTAGTCATTTAAAATATTTCCTTAGGTCCGATTTTTCAAAAATGAATGCCTAAAATATGATTGGTACCATATATCAATTCACATTGAACCTCTGCCTATAATTGTTAGCTCTTTTGAATACTATCACCTTTAAATAGCTGAGCATCTAATGGCCTTAGGCAACCTCATTCTCATCCAGATAGTCCATCCATGGACTATCATCCATAGTCTCAGCTGTAGCTATACGTATTGTTGAGGCTCTTTGAGCTTGTGTGCTTTTTCTAAGGAACTTGGAAATTTCTTTCTTTTTTTTTTTTTTTTTAAAGATTTTATTTATTTATTTGAGAGAGAGAGAATGAGAGACAGAGAGCATGAGAAGGAGGAAGGTCAGAGGGAGAAGCAGACTCCCCGCTGAGCAGGGAGCCCGATGCGGGACTCGATCCCGGGACTCCAGGATCATGACCTGAGCCGAAGGCAGTCGCTTAACCAACTGAGCCACCCAGGCGCCCTGAACTTGGAAATTTCTTAAGCAGAGGAGTACCATAGCTGTTTTATAAATAAACTCCTGGAGATACTATGGAACTAGAATGAGAAAGGGCTATAGTTTTTTGGTTTTTTTTGTTTTTGAGGAGGAAGAGGCTGTATTTAAGTTGATTGAGTTACGAGGGTCTCTAGTGGTCCAGAAAATAAATGAGAAATGTACTGATGGAAGTGAGACAAAGGCAAGAATTCAAGAGACAGTTTTGAAACAGACTCTAGGATAGTTTACTTGTGATTAGAATATTCCTGTAATAAGTCTTTGAGGAAAAGGAATTAAGCTAGAGTGGTGCCTTGAGTAACTGGTTGTTGGGAATGCCAACAGAGAGAATGAAGAGCAGATTTGGATGAAGAGATGAGTTTGGTTATCATATTCTGTGTAGTTGACATCTCTCAGGTGGCTGTTCTCCCATTACTTTCCTGTCTGATGGAGAGGTACCTAGACTTGAGTAAATAGGAAGCAAGTAGCAGCTACCCCATTGTTCATTGTACCTCTCTGCTTTATATATTTAGAAATCAGCCATTCAGTTACTTCAAGAGTGCATGACAGTAGTTTCCCAGTTGTGCCCACTGGTAATTGAGAGGTGAGGAGTAGGCCAGTGAAACTAAGAAAAGCCTTGTGAGGACACAGAGCAACATGATTTAGAATACCAAACTTGAAAGCATTGGTTAAAAATGGTGGAGGGTGATGGAAAATCTGTTTGCTTCTCTGCAGTTCATTCTTTTCCTCCCCCAAACATAATTCTTAAGGCCTGGTAGACATTTGAAAATATTTCACAATGCCTTACCCACTTCTAGAGGTAAGTCCCCAAATCAAAAGTTGCTACTTTGCCCAGTGTAGTTGCTTAGCATTAATACAAAAATAGTAAGTTTTTGCAGCTTATTTGGTTTTTAAACCTTCTATTAATAACCCCTCCTTCCCTTCCCTGCAACAAACTGTACCTGGAACCCAAACATATAAATAGATCTCACCTCCTGCTCCTCAAGACTTATTTAATTAAACTAACAATTCTGGTAAGAAGCAGTCAACTAGAATATCATTAACATAACATGATAATATCCACATTCAGTTGCTACAGTACAACTCTTAGCATGTAATGAACAGCAGTGCCCAGGACATATTTCTTAATTGAGCTCTGCACAAATGTGTTGTGTTGTGACAGCGTGCAGTTTTATATAGATGTCTTTGCACAGGCCTGAATTAAAAACCGCGCCTGTTCTGAGCTTTAGCCTTCTTAGTCAGTGACATATTTACAGAAACTTTATATATGTTCAAAGATGACAGAAAAAGCTTTGTTCCAGGATCTATATATAATTAAAAAGGATCATTTGGACCACTCAAGTTAAGAACATGTTAAAACTATGTGTAACACATCAGTGTGTGTTGTTTATGTTTCTGTCTATGTGTGATTGTGTGTATAGTTTCTTTATTTTTACATTATAATCAAATGTTTATGGAACCTCTGAATTGTCTCTGCCAAATCCTAATTGTTTGTGAAATGGTCTGGGAAAGTATAGGCCTGGCCTGTTAAGTTTAGCTTTTTCTTTAGTCATTACTTTGGAATCCACAAAAAAACTAAAAGTATTCGTTGTAATTTTATAGATCCCTTTCATTCTGGAATGGCACATTAAGATTTCTTGGTATTAGAGATCAACTTCATAATTTGGAGAGGGCATATATATTCCTTAGGAATAATACAGAAATGCTTGTTATGACATTTCTATATTTCTTGATAACAAGCCATGCTCAAAATGTGGTTGCTCTCAGTTTGACCATAAGACCCTCAATATTCAGGGACATGACAAGAAGCATCCACATAAAAGCATGTAACAGCTCTGGGAATTAATAAGCAGGAACAACAAAAATCAGGCATTGTGTTTATTGAGGTACATTTTTCAGGCAGTTCTGGGATTAGTGATAAGAGATTCATCAGTGTAAGCATTCCATCAGTGGTTCTTCAAGTTTAAGCAGCAAATGCCACTACTAACTCCTAAAATATAATCTTAAGTATCTATCTATTTGAATGGGAGAATTTTTTTTACAAGTACATTGTCTAACTTTTTTCCCCTGGTAACTGTAGAGCAGTGGGAGCTTTTTAAGTGTTATATCCTAAAACTTTGTGTATATGTTAACTTTTTTTAATGTAAGACATGTTTCTAAATGTAGAAGGTAATTTTTTTTTAGAAATTACAGTGGCCAAGAGCCAGGTGTGTTTTGCAGATTTATTTTGTGGTATGTATGTATGTATGTATGTATGTTTAAACTCTCCATTTATTTAATAATAATATAGAATTGATTTCTGTAAAATGAAGCAGACTCTAGAAATCCGTTTTGACTTAGAAATAACTGGTTGTCGGTAAAATTTATCTTTATAGAGAAAATAGCTTGTGTTCCATATATAACTACATATGTACACATACATCTAGGGATGGCATCAGTTCCCCTTTTCTGACGAACTTCTAGTAAGATGTATTAGGAGTAAAGGAAATGATAGCATTATAAAAGCCACTGTATGTTTGTACTTTCTTCTTTAGTGTTTAAACATGTGAATGGTTGGATTTACATGTACTTCATGTGTATATGTGTATGTTGTCATGTAAATATATGGTAAATAGTGCCAGTCTCTTGCAGTGGCACTGAAAATTTGATGCATGATATTCCTGAGTGGTATTGGGGTTACTTATAAATATGTCTTTGTACATAACATGTCTTGTGAATTTTGCATGCTACACTAATCTCTGTTAAATCTATCCCCTCTTTATTCAGAGCATGCTGTCAAGGTCCTTTAATTCCAATTTTACTGCTGTAAGCAACTTTCACTATGGCAGCTCTAGGGATCTGCATGGCAGCCAAGGCAGCCTTGCCTTGAGTGTTGCAGACGGAAGAGGTTCTGGTGGGCACATTTTTCGAGTGAGTACCTGCAGTAGACCAGTACTTTCAGTACACAGAAGAAGAAAAAAAACCCACATTTTAGTGTTTTCACATTTCTAGAAAATAAGTTTTTATGGTGGGTTAGATATCTTGATTACCTTCTAGTTCTTCCATGGCTTAGTTCTAAAACTCCCTGCAAAGTTGATTTAGTATTTATCTCTTAAGTTTCTTTGGCTATAAGCTAAGGATGTAGTATATTCTTGTTTATGTAAATAGGGATGAGTGATTGAAATAACTGAGTGGTTTTTTAAAAATTATTATGCTTTGTGGTGTTTTCTCTTAATAAAATTAGCTAGTCTCCATAACTCAAGGTTTTAAGCCTATGCTATACATAGTACCCAGAAGTGTTGTGGGGAAGAATAATTTTTAGTTTACTGATTGAGAATTGGCAAATGAGAAGCACTACCTGGAAGTAAGTTTAATCACAATTCACTGAATATGAGTAAGGCTGGAGAAATTGTAATAAGTACCAATGAAAAGGCAAAACCCAAATCCTTTCTTATACATGTTTTAGCATAGTCATTAATGATGAAGAAGGAAGGTTTATTCTCTTAATGAAAGTTAAGGGTAGGCGGTAAGAATGGCAGAGAAGGAGAAAGAACAGAACAACTCTGGTATGGCTCTATTTTAAGATTTTTCTCTTCATAACAACTTAAGGTGTTAGCATGGCCTCTAAATAAATATTTATTTCTCCCCCTTCCCTTCCATTCTGAAAAGATACTTCTTCTCTTACAACATTATTTTGTCTCCTCCCCGTAGTTTTATTTCCATATTGACTCTGCTTACTTCTGGATCCTTGCCTTTTCCTAAGGGTCCTCATCACCACCCCCTTTTTAATACACTGCTGGCTTTGCATTGTTGTGTTCTAGGACAAGAGTGGTTTCCTGGATTCACTTTGCTGTGGCTGGACCTCACCTTTCTTGCTCTGCCCTCTGTTTCTATGTTAGAGTCATAGCAATTGTTTTGTAATTTATCACTGAAATGGGAAGAGAAGAGTGATAGCTATTAAGCCCTGCATTTCTGGTACTCATTCCAACTGAAACCACAGAGTGAAGACCAGGGGCTTTTATTAACTTAGGAATAATCTTTATTGTCATCTGGAACGATTGTCTTTCCATTTCTTAAACAGTAATATTTTTTGCTTATTATTCTTAAACTCAGAGCCTTTGAGTTTGTTGCATTTTGCTTTTTCATTCATAACATACTTGTTCTTGTTCTTTTAAAGACTAAATAGTTACACATTCAGACTTGAATTTAAACTTCAAACTATGACCTAAGTTGATTACTATGCGTTCCAAAAGCACATCTCAAAAATGGGGAAGGAAGGCAAAATACTCATTGCATAAATTCATAAAATCAGATCAAACCAAATCTAAAAATGCTAATCAGTGCTTCGAACCAGCAACTAACTGCACATGATAGCTCTGTTGAAAATAAAGTTTCTAAGGTTAAATCACAAGCCCTTAGACTTATGTGTATCTTGTGGTATACCATAATGAAGTAGATTTCAGATTATTTTTCAAAATGATGTAGTATACATAGCTGTGTTGCTAGCCACATATTATTTTGAAAGTAACAATAGTGCTATTTATCACAGTCCCTTTAGTTTTCAGAAATATAGCTAAGTGTGTTTAGAACTAAATTAAAATGAAAAGTATGGGCATCTTGCTTCCTAGCATATTATAAAAAATATTCAGAGACAATGAGCTACTGAATTTGTTTTTTCTCTAAAGCTATCAATGAAGTAGACTATAAGGATATTATTGACATACAAAAATCTGAACTCTAGTTAATTTTAAAAGCAAATTGAAAACCAGACCATTGGTTTTAAAAAATACTGAGCTGTCCAATACTAGTATGATAGAATAAGCTAAACTGAATTTTATAAGGTTGTGTATTTATTGGTACTGCCCATCATTAATAAAATCCCAGGCGGCACTGTGCTGTTAATAGCAGTTATTATTTTTTTTTACAAAAACAAAAAACTTCTTTGTAGTACTCAACAGGAGTAAATTTTAGTTGCTCTTAAAATTTGGGACTTTTAACTTAGTTCATTAATAACTAAATTGTTCACAGTGTTAAAAGCTAGGTATTACTGTAAATAAAACTAAAAACATTATGAAGTGTATATTAAAGGTACTAATATTTTTCCTGTTTTATTGAGATATCACATGGTGTTAGTCCAAAGTGTACATCATAATAATTTGACACACACACATAGTGAAATGATTACCGCAACAAGTTTAATGTCAATCATAAAGGTACTAATGTTGATGGCAGTTGCGATCATGTTTGACCTGGTTCTTCATCTTTCCACTACCTAGTAATATTTTTTCCAATCTCCTTTCAAGTGTCATCATCATTTTGGTTTCACATTTGAAAGAGCATTATTTGTTTACTTTTTATTTTCCCCTCATTTGAAGCATCCCCAGACATCCTGTCCAGGAGATCCTTGTCAAGATGATATATTCATTTCAGGACAGCCGAACTACTCGTCAGCTACACTTAGTCACAAAGATGTTCCTCCAGACAGCTTGATGAAAGTAGGTGTTCAGGAAATAAATGAAGACATCTCTTTGAACTTGTTTTACAGCTTTTGAACTGGAAATAACATATGCTTTAACACCGAAAATAATTTTTTGAGGACTTTTCCTTCTTGATTAGAAAAGATTGTTAAAAAACTAATTGGGAATTATGAAATAGATTTTTACTCTATTATTTCTTAGTTTAGTCAATGATTTTTTTCCACCGTGGAAAATGATTTTATTGTTATTTTTGGATTTCTCTACTATCATCTACTTATTGTATTGTTTGAATCAGAGGCTTTTTAGCATCCTGATAGTAAATCTTTTGGAGAATTAAAGATGAAACTGTCTTAAATTCTTCATTTGAGGATGTTTTTACTGTTATTAAAGGCATTTTAAAATACTTTAAATGTAATTAGAAATAACCTTGAAAGACTTCTGTATGTGGTAGAATAGATGATGATTGTATTCTTACTACTTTTGTAACTAAAGCATCACTTAGAGAGTTTACTTTTCTGTCACCAATACCAGATAGATAATTCTTTTCTTTAATATTCTCTCTCAGCTGTTCTTTCAACTAACGCCAATTCCATATTCCTAGTATAACCAGATACAATTTTGAAGCATACTTAATGTATTCTATAAAAACTTCTACACTGTTCTTGAGAGTAGGAACCCAGCCATATAACATAAATTCATACATAACTATTTATTTTATCCCTTTTTTTCTTTTAATTGAGCTATGTTATTCGGTTTCTTTTTCTTTTTAATATCCATTTTTGTAGTTTAGGTTATTGGGTTGTTTCATACTTGTATTCTCCTGAGCCATCTGCTAATGATAGCTTAATATATTCTATGGGTATGTTTAACACTGATGTAAAATGTCAGGCACAACTAAGAATCTAGGTATCAGGCAGTCTTAGCATGGGTCAGAAGTAATTACTGTTTGGAAAATTTTCCCCAGGAGAAAGGTATTGAATCTGCACATAGGAATAAATGATACAAGCTTGGAGAAAGCGAGTGTAGTCCACAGAGTTGTGCATAAGTAATAAAGTGACAACACAACCACTTAAAGGCTCCTGGCAGATTAATGACTTCAAATCTACAAAATTCAAGTAGTAAACAACCACAATTTTATTAAAAAAAGATACAGAGATAATGGAGTACCTCATTCGCTTTTTCTCCAACCAATGTAAGATTTGTCATAGAGTGATAGCATCTTTGTGCCCTGTTAGAAAACACCTGTTGGAAACTTTAAGTTCCCAAAGTTCAGAATTAACCAAGTTCTGAAGTATAACACAGTAAAAAAGATAACTTTTTTTAAAATAAAAATCTTCACCAAAGCCAGACTTTGTTTCTTTCAGCAAGGTTGATGTAACAAGAATGTAGTTCTGAAACAATTACCATAATCTTTTCCCAAACTTTTCTACTTTGGAATAATTTTAGGAGAATGGGGCTCAATATTTCTCTCACAGTTTTTCTATAATTCACTTGTGAATAAGATCACCTCTTTATTAATAATAAATAATGAAGTTTTAAATGATTGAACAGCTGGAAAGTATTTCTCCTTCTATACAGCAATCTCTCTATATGCACATACTTATAATACGAATGTAAACTTATTTTTCAGATAGTTTCATCATACTAACATAACACATTATTAGCTGCATTTACACAAAGGTGATTTTAAGTCTAAAATTCAGATTCAGTCTAAACGATGAGAAGCATTAAAACAAGGATAGATCTTTAACAACAAAATAATTATCTCAGATTTTTTGTGTAACTTGCAAAAAGTAAAATAGAATGTCAAGGTTTAATTTTTGTGGTTACTGTTTTATGGAACTAACATTTAAGGAGTTTAAAAGTTGCTAACTGCTACACACACACGAGGAATAAGTTAGTTTTCTACTGTATAGATGCCTTGACTTGTTAATTCTAGAAAGAAAGAAAAGTAGAAAATACAGTCAGATTAGGACACAGAAATTGCAACTTTTGTTCAGAAGAAAATATGAACAAATACATCTTCTACCCTTTTAATGGGCTTAAATTTTAAAATTTTGACATAATCACCATTTTAACATTTGGTTACTGTAAGAAAGATAGGTCCATGCATATTGAACAGAAAAGCAGATAATTTTAAATGTAGATAGGATTTCCTTTCATTTCAAACCTTTAAAGAGTGAGAATCTATCTGCAAGCATTCAGGCAAGTTTAGAATTAATAGCTTTTTTCTTTTAAAACTGTAAAATTAGAAAAAATAGTATAAGTGGCTTGATATTGTGTGATTTAGAATGTTAAACTCTAGTGCTTTTGTAATGCTCCAAGAAGAAAATCCAAATATTTGTAATGAGACATTATTGTTGGTCATTTTAAGACACTTCGTGTTTTTCTTAGATGCCTTTGATTAATGGACAGATGGGCCAGCCTCTCAGGCCTCAGGCAAATTATAGTCAAATACATCACCCCCTTCCTCAGGCTTCTGTGGCAAGGCATCCCTCTAGAGAACAACTAATTGATTACTTGATGCTGAAGGTGGCCCACCAGCCTCCATATACACAGCCCCATTGTCCTCCTAGACAAGGCCATGAACTGGCAAGGCAAGAGGTAAGAATAATCAAGAATATTTGAAATATGAAACTAAGCTCTTAATGTACTTTATAGGTTATTTAACTATTAGCAATAAATCCATATAGAATTTTAACATAGTTTTTACCAATTTGTTGAAAGGTTTGGTTTCATGTTATAAGTTTATAGGATGTCAAACTTAATGGTTAACTTGACTCTGTGATCCCCTATGTTCTGATTAATTGACATAGGATTCAGTGTTTCAGAGGTGATTTTTTTTTTTTTCCCCTAAGGTGGTTGTTTATACAAAACCATTCGATGATATTCCAGTAATTAGACCTTCTTCAGGAATATGAATAGTAGACCATGAAACTTGACTGGCATGTTATGGTTTACTATTGTTATTTGACACTGAGAGTTTGAAATTTGACTAGAGTCTCCAAACTACTTCGAGAATTAAATCTTACAAAGTACTTAAAAAGTAACTAATCATTCATTTACATATTTTGATAGCTTATTGATAAAATGATATTGTTAGAAACTTAGGCAGAGAACATGTGCCTTATTCGTTTTGGTTTAGTCTCTGGGGAAAGGGAGTATTTTATAACAAGTTTAGTTCTTGATCTTTTTTTGTAGTGTGGTTATAAAAAATATTATCAATTGATCATCAGTCCCAGTGTCTTGCAAGCATATAAACAGGTTCAAGAAATGAGGAGTTGATATCCAACAACCACCCAGGGATTTTTAAATATCTTAGGAAACACCCAAAAAACGGACATACTATGTAATTTAGATGTTTTACAAATGGAAACTGATAATAAGCTGATAATAACTGTGTGTGCTCAATATCATTAAAATCCATCATATCTAAAAAAAAAAAAAATAAGATCAATAGTAATCAGTTGCCTATCCTTATAAAATAACAGGAGATTAACTTAGGAGCTATGCTTTATAATCCCAGCTGTGCCTTTAACTCACTAACTTATTAACATGATATTCCATGTTATAATTTCCCTTCATCTGCCCGAATATTTATTTTAGATGAATCTTTACATATTTTACCAATAGTTAAATACTGTGTTGTAGCTTTTTCTGAGATGTTAGTAATAGTTTATTTTCATATTAATTCAGATGCGAGTGAGAGTTGAAAAGGATCCAGAACTTGGATTTAGCATATCAGGAGGTGTTGGGGGCAGAGGAAATCCATTCAGACCTGAAGACGATGTGAGTTTGTCTATTTGTCCTTGAGATACCCATAAGGTTTATTCACTACTTAATGCCTCCTGTACATAAGTAAAAATCTAACAGATACTTACATAAATCTAGACAGATACCATCTTTTTTATTTCTCTCTGTATTGTTCAGCTTTTTGTTTTGAAATGTGATCACTTCAAATTAATTGTTTGAGGAAAACAAATTAAACCCCCTGTTTTAAATGTTCATCACACTGTGAAGTGATTTTTAAATTTGGTTATTACATTTCTGCCCATCTGTACTTTAAGAGAAGTTACTATACTCAAGTCAGAATTACCAGCACCAAAAATAACAAGGGGTTGTAACAATATTCAGAGAAAACAGGGAGAAAACTTGTACTGTGATTCAAATATTTACATACTGTCCAAGAAAAATTGTTCCTTGTTACTCTCTCATTGATGCATACTGTTTTCCATTAAGTGTTTATCTTTTTTGTTGTTATTAAAGGGTATATTTGTAACAAGGGTACAGCCTGAAGGACCAGCATCAAAATTATTACAACCAGGTGATAAAATTATTCAGGTAACTAAGATACATCTTTTTATTATTTTCTTAATTTTTCATTTTATAAGATCTGCTTTCTCATCAAGAAATTAAATGCCAAATTTTGAAAATAATCATTTTGTGAAGTTTATCATTAAATATTTGTGGATGAAAATAGTGGCATTTCTTATAGGCCACTCTCTTAGTATTTTCATAGTTTATGATATTTCTTCCTAAAACCTTGGAAAATCATGGGTATTTTTGAATACATGTTAGATATATCTTAGCATTTTGTTTAAGTTCAGGAATGTTAACTTCTTTAAAATAAGATGGTGAAAGAATCTATTTGTTATAAGAATTAAAGAATTTAATTCACGTGAAGCACTTAGAACTATGTTTGGTATATAGTAAAACCTCAGTAAATGTTAAGCCTAAATTATAAGAAATGTAGTGTTTATCTGCTGGCCCAAGGCAATAGGAAGAGTAAGCCTTGCCCTCTGCTATCCTTGCATGTTGGTGCCCTCATTTACACGTTAGCACATACACATAACACCATGCCTGGCACTGTGTCTTAGCCAGGTGCTTTCTAACATTGGGTTGCTACATAAGAATCATCTGAAAATGTAGACAAGGTACAGGTTCCTGGGTCACACCTTCAGAGATTTTAATTTCATAGATGTGGGGTAAGGCCCAGGAATCTACATGTTTTAAATTGCCAGAATGATTCTTATTTTCTGCCAGGTTTGTGCACTATCAGCAGAAATTTAAATGTACAGATGCAAATAAATTATTATGAAATGTTTTTCTTAAAGACATTTTTCTTTTTTCTTCTAGGCTAATGGCTACAGTTTTATCAATATTGAACATGGACAAGCAGTGTCCTTGCTAAAAACTTTCCAGAACACAGTAGAACTCATCATTGTACGAGAGGTTTCCTCTTAAGAATTGTGGACAAAAAAAGGGGGAAGGCAGCAAGATTTATTGGAAGATATTTGCAGGGGAAATTAATATTTTGACTATTTTTATATGTAAAGATGAACTCAAAAAATTATGTTCAAGTTTGTACATTAATGAAATAATGGAACTTGTGGTTAGAGGGAAAGAACCACTGTACAGTATATAGGGGAGACTGTTGAATTCATACCATATAAAAGTTCTTGTTAGGTTTTTAAACATAGCAATCAAGGCTGCAAAAACAAACATACGTTGTTTTTGTATAGATTGTAGGTTTATTTTTGGATTTCATACACATGACTGAACTCTGTGCAAGGCTCTAGTTAGCCTTGATTGTAGCCCAGAGACAGATGGCAGAGCTTTCTGTCTCATAGCTTTTGTGCCCTTATTTTTATTCAACTCGTATTAATGTTTTTCTGCTGAAACTACTTTTTTTTAATGTGGGCAAGAGATTTGAAGTGTTGGTTTTTGCTATGTGCATATTGAATTGAAGAGTGAGTAGGTGAAGGTGGTGCTGGTGGGTTCACTTTCCAAGGCCAGATTAAAACAGTTAATTCCTATAAAAATCTGGAAGCAAAGATTGAAAAAACAGCTGTTAAATGTTTTTATTAATAAAATAATGCAATAAAAATGTAATGTCTTTTTAAAGAAATAAAGACGATAATTGCATTTTATGAGCTCTACAGGATCTGTTCTTGTCATAGCCATTGACAGTACATTTGCTACTGGTGATTCAATTTTTAATTTTTTAGTCACAGGAAATTTTTAACTCTTCTGTAGATGCATGTCCATGCATTTTTTTGTGATATGGAAATCTCTTGATTTTTTGCAAATGGTGGTCCTTGCAATCTGTTTTATAATTAGTATTCCATTTTAATCTTAATTTATAATTTTTATTTTAAGCAGCAAATGAAACTAAAATGGCCAGTTTTAAAAGATTGTGTTGCTGTAACACAAAGTGTAAGCAGATTTAGGAAAGCCTCTTGATTTTGTTTGGTCTCACATTGCCTTGGTAAAGTAAAAGGAAATATAGTACGCATGGAGCTAGGAAACCAAAGCAAGTTTGTGAAATTGGCACAGTGATAGAGAATTGCTGTGGAGAGTTGTAGAGCAAAGGGATGGGTCCTTGAGGCCTACCAGTGTGTCAAGGTATTCAAATAAAGGGCTGTTCCTACAGGTAACATTAAATGTGAACTCGACACTTCAGAGTCTTTAAAGGGTTTCTAAGCGTATCAGTGTAATAGAATAGTGTTTTACCACCAGCTGCCTTTGTTCCTCGTTAGTGTAACAAATATTTCATAGATGTTTATTAATTTGTTCATCCAAACCATTAATTTTGTTTCTATTCTGTCGTTGTAATTCAATAAAATTTGAGTAACATGCAATGGTAAGAATTAATGCATGGTTATTTGGACCAGAAAAAAGTGCCACAGAAGACCAATAACTGTTTTTAGTTGAGGCTAGTCTGGAGCCTTTCATTAGAGCAATATTCAGTTATTGCAATTCATTTTTAATTACTAAGAAATATAATTTTGGAATTTTTAATCTGTTATGCTTTGTTCTTCAACCTTGTTTTAATTAAGACTTTTATAGGACTAGCAAAAACAGCAATTTACATTATTTTTGCAAAAGGAGTTGAACTTGTTCCTTTCTTGCTAGTCAGAGTAAATAGGCAGTAATTTTCAAAAGATGTGAACTCAAATATTGCACTTCTTTCAAGATGTTATCATTTGGTTATTGTACTGTATAGTTTTAATAATATTGATTGAAACCCTTTAACAACTCTTTGTAAATTTTAACTCATTTTAGTTGTTTTTCAGTACTATTTACATAGGAATTGATTTTTATGGATATAGTAGAAGAAATGTGATGTATTTTGATAAAATTCATTTACTGTATGTGTGTTGTAATCTCTAAAAAAAAAACAATGACAAACAGCTTAAGACAAGCCTCGGTGTTCCCTTTATTCATAGTTTATTTTAAAATACTAATTTTGGCACATCCTTTTTTTATTTCAGTCAATTTTTCAGTCACATTCTACTTTTAATAAGGAATACATAAAATAGATATAATTGTGACATTTTCAACTACTTTATCTTGCATCAGATACACAGATAATTTTGGAAAAGGAAAATAGCCACAAAAAACGATTGATTAGTGATCAAACCTTAAGTTAATTGTCTGCATATTATATTGATATATTACAAGTGCAGCAAGTATTACATGCACTAGTATTTTATTCTCCTCTAGTTAGTTAAAAAAAATTTTTTTAATGTTCTTATAACACATATAGTTGAGTAAGAAAGTTAGTTACCAAGGAAGAGTAATGTGATTATATAACAAAAAATTAATAGCAAAACAGTTTTGCACTTAAATAGCCATAATTTTCTTCTAAAATATTGGAAAATTAAAATGAAGTAAGAACTCTTTGTTAGAATTTTTGCTTTGGTTGGTAATGATAAGGTTTCGAAATTTGAATAGAAGATTAAATCTTCCGAGGAAATGAAGAAGACATTTTTAGTTTACATATTGTTGAGTAATTTGTAGTCAAGGCCCATACCCATAACTGACATTATTTAAATATTATGTAGCAAACCATCACAACCAAAACTCTCTCATTTTTAGTGATAGTGTTTAAAATTGACCACCCTAAAATTTTAAACTGTTAAAAATTATATGTTCAGAATAATTTATTCTGTACAGAATTCTTTACATAAACTGACATGCTGATTCATGAGGGAATCAGTATCTAAATCCGTAAAATTCTAAAATTTCTTACATATTATGTATTTTTTCTGAACTCTTTGGACTTGCAGTTGTGTATATACTTGAAAAAAAAAATTTTTTAAGTATTTTTAAGTAATCTCTACACCCAACGTGGGGCTCAAACTTACAGTCCCAAGATCAAGAGTTCCATGCTCCCCTGACAGAGCCAACCAGGAGCCCCTGAAAAATTCTTTAAATACTTACATTGGCATAAACAGAACTAAACTTTTAAGTATTAACTTGCTGTGCTTAAAAGGAAATCCTATTAGCAGCTATGTAATATTTTTATCAGCATTTGTAAAACATTCCAAATTTTTGTCCTTATTTAGAATGCTTGAAGTAACACAGTGAATAGGTGATAAACTTACGCTGTTTAAAGTTATGTGATTTATTTTATGAAATTCAGGGTGAGAAATTTGTCATAGATACACAATAAATTTTTTGGCACTTTAAACCCTTGTATTTCTGGGTATGGAGGAAGTGTAGTTTGCCTTAAATTACTGTTTTATACTTCTAAAGGAAGCCATTGGAATGGGAAATGTTTTCCAGTTAGTTCAAGACTGGTGAGAAATCTATTTCAAAGGCTATTTTTTTCATTCCTTCTGTTGAAATTCTTATTAGCTTATTTTTTTGGTTTAATGTATAGTAAATAGATTTCTTACGAAATAAACTGAAATCAGAATAATTTTTTTTTTAAAGATTTTATTTATTTATTTGACAGAGAGAGACACAGCAAGAGAGGGAACACAAGCAGGGGGAGTGGGAGAGGGAGAAGCAGGCTCCCCACCGAGCAGGAAGCCTGATGCGGGGCTTGATCCCAGGACCTTGAGATCATGACCTGAGCCGAAGGCAGACCCTTAACAACTGAGCCACTCAGGCGCCCCTGAAATCAGAATAATTTTATATTTCATCAAAAACAATACACATAGTTGATGTACAAGGGAATAAAATACCTCTTGTCTTTTTTTTTTTTTTTTTAAGATTTTACTTATTTATTTGACAGAGACACAACGAGAGAGGGAACACAAGCAGGGGGAGTGGGAGAGGGAGAAGCAGGCTTCCTGCCGAGCAGGGAGCCTGATGTGGGGCTCGATCCCAGAACCCTGGGATCATGACCTGAGCTGAAGGCAGATGCTCGACGACTGAGCTACCCAGGTACCCCAATACCACTTGTCTTTTACAAGGTAATCTAGATTGTATGGGCAGCCTGCTCCAACTTTTAGGTATTTCCCTTGTTTCTTTCTTCCTTTCTTCCCTTTCTTTCCTTTCTTCCTGTCCTTTCTTTTTCTTCTCCATGCCCAAAGTAGTGCTCGAATTCATAACCCTGAGATCAAGAGTCTCATGCTCTACTGACTGAGCCAGCCATGTGCCCCTACCCATTTTTGCGGGGAGGAGGGTGAGGAGAGAGAGAATCTTTTTTTTTTTTTTAAGATTTTATTTATTTACTTGAGAGAGTGAGTGAGAGAAAGAGCACACGAACAGGGGGAGAGGGAGAGGGAGAAGCAGGCTCTCCCTGAGCAGGGAGCCCAACACAGGGCTTGATCCCAGGACCCTGGGATCATGACCCGAGCCAAAGGCAGACACTTAACTGAGTGAGCCACCCAAGTGTCCCAAGAGAGAGAATTTTTTTTTTTTTTTAAGATTTTATTTATTTATTTGACAGAGAGAGACACAGCGAGAGAGGGAACACAAGCAGTGGGAGTGGGAGAGAGAGAAGCAGGCTTCCCAATGAGCAGGGAGCCCGATGCGGGGCTGGATCCCAGGACCCTGGGATCATGACCTGAGCTGAAGGCAGACGCTTAACGACTGAGCCACACAGGCAACCCCCAAGAGAGAGAATCTTAAGCAGACTCCACGCTCAGTGTGGAACCCAACACAGGGCTCAGTCTCACGACCCTGAGATCATAACCTGAGCGGAAATCAAGAGTCAGATGCTTAACCAAATGAGCCACCCAGGCGCCCCTACCTCTCCCCTTGTTTCCCAATAGAGAGTTCAGAAAAGGTTGTCTATTTTATACCTAAAGCTGCAGTTTCTCTGCAGGATTTTTAATCCCAGGGGATAGTCAGCATAGTCATTTACAATTTTGGAAAACCTAAAAGACAATGCTATCTTCTTTTTTTTTTTTTAGGAATATGCATTCATTCTCTTTGTGAAACAATTGCATTCTAAACTGAGAAAATCTTTTTTAGGAAAAACACCTCAGTAGAATCTTCTCAGCTTTTGTTTTAAAGAACAACTAAGTTACTCCTAAAACCTTTCTACAGGATTGTTAGGAAAAAGACTGGAAAAAGAATAATTCTGCTGATAATTTCCTTTTCATATAACAATTAGAGAAAATTATGATCTCCCTTGGGATTTCATGTGGCCCATCTAGCTTCTTAATCAGCCCTCAATCTAATTATAGGATGATATGAGAAGCTCACATATCACCAGTAAAGGAAGAACTCCATAGTGTAAAATTGTACCACCTTCCACCATGATTCAATAGAGCTATTTTTATTTTGCATGAAAACATGTTAAAGTCTTACACATATTTTTCCTGAATTGAAGTTCCTTAAATCTAATAAAAACAATTTTGTTCCTCTAAGGCAAGCTTTAGAAGGATCTCTTTTTTCTTTAATGTGTTTTTTTTTTTTTTTTCATTAGAGAAACTAAAGAAAACTAAACTAAGCATTGAAGAAAAATGCACAGAGCATGGATTTTTAGGGTGGATGATTTGGAAGGCTCCTCATCTTCATGAAAAGCAAAACCTAATACTCTGAGAACTAATGCTATCCCAGAATGGGTATTAAAACATCTTTCACATTTGGATCATCCTTCAAGAGCATTCAATTTCCCGAGAATAGGAGGAACCATGTGCAGGCTTAGCTGTCACAAAGTAAATTGTTCAAGATTGTACACTGGTGCATCCTTCAAGCTCCTCCCATCCACATCCCTAGAAGTGACAGAATAGATGATTATTTCATAATATGATAGGTAAAAGTATTGTTTAATCTCCACAGTTTGGAGAAATAAAAGTGCACTGGATAAATTTTAAGGAATTCTTTGAAATCCTAGGACAGATAGGGCCAAAGAATTCTACCATGAAAGGTGAATCTGGCTTCAGGGATGCTTCAAAAGTAGAGACAGAATGAAAGATCAAGAAGGAGTTGTAGATAACGCTGGGAGTACTGCATCATATGAGGTTGGTTATAATTACCACCTTTTTTATGCCAAGCACTATGCAGAAGATGATGTATGTGAGTGATTATATTAGAAGGGAAAACCAGTACAAGCCATTTTACCAGGCTTACCCAATGTCCTGTCCTTCCTTTGCCCATCATTAGGGAAAATAGTTTGCAGTAAGCAAGTAACATTCTCACACAAGTTCATATTAAGATGAGAACAATAGTTACTGAACATTTGAAGAAAAGCAACACCATGAAGAGAGTCACCAAACAGAAGTACCAATATTTGAAGAAATCATTATTTTGAAATGTTATCTTCTCAGGGAGAAAGAGATTATTGAATTTGCAAGATTAGCTGTTAGGGAAGCATTTAAATATCTTTATAATGGAAAGTAGAATTTGTTATAAATTCAGTAGTTGTGCTGAAGAATAGGAAGGATATCCTTAAGAGCAAATTTGCAAGCTCTTTAGATTAGGATTCCATAAAATGTAATGCAAATGAACTAAAAAATAGAAATGAGACATGAAAGAAAAGTCTTGTGTTCCAACATGGATCTAATAGGAGTTCAAAAGGAGAAAAGGGTATGGATACACAATGAAGTGAGGGAAATTTTTAAAAACCTTGAGGAGATGCCCTAGACCTGAAGCACAGCATAGGTCTTCAGACCAAATGGGTCCATTCGTGGCCAGACAAAAACTATAAACATGCACACCAGATATGTCTTCACAAAGTTTCAGATCAGATATAAAGAACATTTTTTAAAGTTTCAAAAAGAGTATCTTATATTCCAAAATGTGAAGGCAGTTACTTGCAAAGTGAACAAAATCACAACTTTAATGACCGACGTTGGATGCAGGGATATTTAAAGTTTTTCATGTCAGAGGGTAAAATAAAGACAGTTTCAGAAATTAAAGTTCTCAAAATTAATCTCCCACTGAGCCTCAACAAAAGAGAGGTATATATTTGAACCAATACCAGGGAATATATTGGAACAAAATGAGAAATCTCAAAAGTAGATTTGGGATCCAAGGAATAATAACCAGAATCAGATGTAGTGGAGCAAAAGTAGTGTAATTATGTTGATCATAAATAAGAATGTGGTTGTAAAATACTAGATGATCTCTACAAGTGAGAAGAGAATTC